AAGCTTCCACAACTTCTTTCAGAGAAATGCTTCGCAGTATGGAAGGTAGATTTGGCATCAGCGTCTGAAGCTGTATTTACCAGTATGCATTACTATTTAAATCGCCACTTCGACCAATATGCTTCCCTTGTAAGCTGCAGTGCCTTGGTGGGGACAAATGCGTGCGTAAGTGATTATAAATGCTGCTTGAACGATTGATTGAGTTTTGAAAAAGAATATCATTCTTTTTCATTAGTTTATCATCAACCCTTCATATAATAACCTTTATTACCAAAGGGCAAATATAGAGCGAGGGATGTGACTATAAAAATGTTTTATGAAAGGTGAGAAGATTTAGAAGAGTCCATTGATAATCTCTGTGACAGGATCGATGGTGATATCGAAAAAGCATGGACGTGTAGCAAGTCCTGGCATTGTAGTGATTTCTCCAGAAAATGGAAATATGAACCCGGCACCAATCGATGCGCTCACGTCGCGGACAGGCAGGGTAAAATCTGAAATTTTTGAAAATTTCTGTTGTTAGCTGTGTTGCGAAAGCACAAACTGAGCGAGTTGAAATCAAAAAACGAGAAAAGAAGTACTTGTAGGTGCTCCTTTCTTTGATGGATCGTGCGAAAGTGATAACTGAGTCTTCGCCATGCATATTGGTAGATTTCCAAATCCTTGCTTTGTGTAACAATCTAGTTTCTTTAAAAAGAAAAAGAGTAATTATCATTCTTAGAAGACACTCTGTTTTTCTCTATTTTGACAGTAATACAAGAAAAGGATATTTTTGCAAAAAGCTTTTTGAACAATGCCACTCACCTATTCTTTTCGCAATAAAAGATATGAAATTTACAAATGAGAATGAATAGCAATTCCTGCGAACTGGTACTTTCTTTCAATTTGATTTTAAGATTTAAATTCTTTACCTCCTTTGCTTCCTTCGTAAATTCCACTCCATCAGCGCCATATATCTCACGAGCTATTATATTAATCTTTTCTTCAAGTGGAATATCCAAAGGGTACAGGAACCTAAGAGCTATTAATTTTCAATGAATACAAAATTAGATAAGGCGCTTCTCACTGGAATTTCCCCTTATCTTCAGATGTTGCGTCAACAATCGCCTTAGCTAATGGGATCGACCCTGCACCTCCCTTAGCCCAGTGATCTGAAATCACTGCATTGCAGGCGCCATGGGCCATTGCCTGGAATTATGAAGGTTTTGTAAAGGAATGGACTATGATTAGGTTTTATCCTTACCCTGCTAACCACCATCTGTAATTCTTTGTCGGTATCAGTAGCAAATTTATTCACGCATACCACTACAGGCATTCCAAATTTATTGCAGTTTTCAATCTAGAAAGGAAAGCAAATTTCTAAAGTTTTTACCCAAAAAACAATCTTCCAAACCTGTTTCCTCAAATTTGAATCACAGCCCGCCTTGACAAGATCGAGATTTTCTTCCAGATATTCGTGCTTAAGTGGACTACCCGGCGAAACGGCAGGGCCTCCTCCATGCATTTTCAAAGCTCGTACAGTTGCTATCAGTACCACTGCAGATGGGTTCAGGCCAGAGTATATGAAAAGAAAAGTAGTTTTATCGTTACGGTAAAAAAAGGAAAGCAGACTGAATACCCATGAGAAATGCATTTTTTTAGGAATTTTGGGAATTTTTGTAACAAAAGATGTGAAAACATCTGTAATATGCCAATAATGAATTTGAAAAGTTACAGTGTAGATGTTATCATGGAAATATTTCTCTTCTTCCATTCTTGGCTTAAAGAGAAGCAAGGAGATTTTACTCCTAACATGGATCTTCACCTGCATTTGATGTTGAAGAATTTTTCCATACCAATATCAGCCCCAAATCCTGCCTCAGTGACGACATAACCGTCTTCACCAACGAGTTTGAGAGCTACCTGAAGATTAACATTGATTTTGAAGAATTAAGCGAGATTATGTGTCTTACCTGATCTGCGATGATGCTACTGGATCCATGGGCTATATTAGCAAATGGGCCAG